CTCCTTGCATTTTATTGAGTTTTGTTTGTTTATTGTTGGTTAAGAGATCTAATTTCACATACGAATGGTTTTTACTTTTATATACTTACCTGATCTCTCATTCTGCACGAAAATTGCTATGTGTAACTACTTTAATTTATTGTTTTGATAAGTTGCACGGATGTCAAGATATCAAACATCATAAATAAGATTGAATGAGAGTGGTGCGGGGAACACGGACCGAGTCACTCTGGGGTAAATAGTACTCTAAGCCTTATTCCTGTCAGTCTGGCCAACCGCGGGCTGAATATTCCATGAAAGCCACTCAGCTACAAGCTATAAGACCAAAGAAATGTTCAAAATGAATTACAACCGGTAAATGGACATACATCACATAACGGGATACTTCTGTAATGTTCACCAAATCTGCCCATACCTAAACAAGCTGTGGGGTCTTTTACAATCATGTGCTACAATATCTAACAACGTCAGAACTCACAACAATCGTCCTTCCAATTCCTTGAGTACGGTAATGGGTAAAGAAAATACAAAAATGGCGGAATGCGGAATGACCATGTAATATTTTCATAACTGCAGGTCCATGAGTATTTGTGTTTTAAACCCACTGCCAGAACATGAAAGCGGATATGGTGATGACACGCGATGGCCATGGACGTAGAGTGAACGAAAATAGCGATGGCACCTGAAAAAATTAAGAATATCGCAATGTGACAAGCATGCTGCAATTTCACATCGCTGTTAGGGTAGCCTACATTATTTTCAGAATGGTGGGTAGCCCGGTACCTCATGATGCTTAAGTGACCTCCTAATCTGGCCTAAATATCTAGTCACGGAGACACGGAATACATTAAATATGTTCGCCTAATATAAGGGAAAACTTAAGAGCAATTTCTGATTTCTTATTGTATCATGTTAGTGATTATACCTATGTAATCCTTCCGATGTAACAGAGCTTCATGGTGGTAAGACTAAGAGACATGGGTCGGTCGGTGAAAATTGGTGTGAATAATATCTTTCTCCTCCAAGGAATTTGATGAGACAGTGGGACTACCCCTTCCAATTCAATGATGGGGAAGCGTCTTTCTGTCCCCCCCCCCCCCCCGCTCCAACATTGATGCCGATCCTGGTAGCACGTGCGCTGCAATGCAACATAAATTTTCACGTTTCCTTTTAGAAAAGGTTCGATTTCCATAGACTGCAGGCAGGCGCGCAGCCAGAGCCCTGGCAAGGGTACAGGGTTGACAAAGGGCTTCTTGATAGTGACAGGTCCCCTGAAAAAATTATCACTAAAAATGGCCCATTCCTTAAGAAGGGCGTGTTTTTCTTTGATATTTTTAGTCTTACCCTCTATAACTAGAATATAAGTCGCAAGCTATCGCAAAATCAATTCTGCTTGAGTTTTGTAGTCAATAAACTGAAGAATTGCTTATCTAATAAAATACTTAAAACTGCTACATGCAATAAACCGCCGACTCTCTTCCTTGTGCAATGTACTTGTACTTGTCCAGTGGAATTTTCTTATTCAAAAGAACTCAGAAGCTTTTCAGAGTTTTGATCTGATCTCTACAGACATGTTAAGGATCCCGCGAATTTAGATTGTGGGTCGAAATGGGTTAAAGCTTGTATCAACTTGGCAAAGCCATGTTTGTCTGGAAAAGTTCAACATCCAGTCAGAATCGATTAGTGACACAAGTTATGTAACGTAGTTTTGAGTATGCGCGCTCGCAAATTATAGCAATAAAAACCTCGACACTAGACGTTGCAATCTACAAGGACCACACAGCGTTGGCTCGTTGATTCCTGTTGAATCGTGACAGCGGGTGGGCGGAAGAGATGACGCTTCTAAAAGGATTTTTTGAACGCTTTGAATTATCAAATGTTACGCTTACAAGGTGGTCCGGGCGTTTACTTCACATGTGCGATTTTAGATTGATGATAAAAACGGATCGACTTTTACAGCACCGCGGTGTGGTGATGGAATTTAGTGGTGGAGCGGGAAAAGAAAAAGCAGAATTGATAATTTTCGTAAGATTTGTTAATAAGTTTCAAAAAAGATACGCCCAGTGTAATCTCTGAACGACACGAATGAACTTTGGAAGACATTCGGCACCATTATTTTACAATGGTCGTTCTCACGCGCACGGCGGCCACCTCCTGGCATCACCTGCAGTGACCAATGCTGTTCGCTTTCAGGGAAGCTGCAACACAGGTCATCGCTGTCCTGGCTCCGGAGATTGCAGGCGCGCGAGCTCAAGCCTTTTGATGTTATTTGTTTCACTGGCCGATTCTGTTAAAAAACGTTTTAAAGCAAAATAGGGTGACCTGGTTCGTTTCTTAACCCATTTCAGCCTACTCTTTTCAACACTAATGAGACCCCTTGCTTCTTCACGGACAAGGGATCTCCTTAAAAAATAATATTAGTCTCTCATTATTGTGCTCGGTCGATGTCTGAAGAGCCACCCCCGTCCCAACGCGAGGTGACTTATGGCTGCCATTCTGGCGACCAGGACGGGATCCCCTGGTCGTTCTGGAGGCCTTCAACGGGACACATCACATTGCATCGTTCCTTTCCCTGACGTGGGAGGCCTCCTCACCCGCACTGTTAACCCCGAATCGACACAGGAACTCTCATTGAGGGAACAACTTCCCCGATTTCTGCAACCACTCAGTAATTGGCACATGGATTGCAGTTTGGCTTAACGGGTCCATGCGAATTTTGGGGTAGAGGGCCCGCCGTTCGGTACTGGGGGCCTCGACTGGCACATGCCGCTTCCATTGTCTGAGAACACTCATCATAAGCTCTCGTTTCCTTTCCTTGTCAGAGGGCCTCAGGGCTAACGCAAGAGGCCCTCTATCACTCGTGGTTCTGTCCCCGTCCATGCTGAGCAAATATTTTCCTGGCCGACCTGAAGTCCCTTGTTGACACAGAATACCCTGTTGGGCACTGTGGGTCCCTGACCGATACAGAAGCTCCGCATTGTTGCCGCCGGCCTGACCAGTGTAAATCGCGGTCCGGCCTTGTCCCTGCGTGGAAAATAGGCCCCCAGAGCTGGGATCGACACGGAGCCGACTGCTTGGTATTGGAGGTCTATGGACGAAATAGAGGAGCGCTCTGTATCAGAGCTCGCAATCGATGCAAGAGGCCCTCTACCTGACATTTGATATCAGGGCCCTGAGGGCCCTTAATGTAAACTACAGGCGGCCCTTCGGACTCTTCAGCCTTCCAGTCGGGCCCTTGATCTTTGGTCTCGAGAGAACCTCCGATTCTCTTCGGGGCCACTCAAACACCGCTCCTGGCCGACTCGGGTTCACTTGCTGCCACAGTACCCATTTTAGGCACTGCGGCGCCTGGCCAACACAGGGACCTCAGCCATTGTTTCAGGGATCCAGACCAATGCGAATCGTTGTCCCGGCCTTGATCCTGATTAAGAAATGGGCCCCCAGGCATGAGATTGACAGGGAACCAACTGTTTGGTGCACGTGGTCTCTGGCCGATTTAGACTCTCTAATTTTCTTGGGGGTTCTAAAACGGTCCAAGAGGACCTCTAACATGTAAGGTCATAGCCCTATGGGCTAAGAATTTTTATGGGACGTACGTAGTGCTTGCGTAGTGCTTGCGTGGTCCTGGACGTAGTCCTTCGGAACCTTATGCCCTTCAACCGAGCCCTTGATCACCAATGCCGGTGGGCTGCCTAGGCCTCTCTTCGGCCTAGGCAGCTTATCGAACATTACCCTTGGTTGAATCGGGGCCCTTGCGAGCACAGGACCCGTTGTTAGGTGTTGTGGGCCTCTGACAGATACAGGGGCCCGACCAGTGTGAATCTCTGGCCCCGGCTTTGTAGCTGATAGAGAATTAGGCCCTCAGGCCCGTACCGACATAGAGCTGACTGTGCGGCTCTGGTGGTGCTTGACCGTCATATAGACCCACATCAACTCAGGAGGTCCCCGGCTAGCGCAAAGGCCATCTGACTGTCATTTGTGCGCCCGTCCCCGCAGGCCGGGGCCCCTGAGTAAGTCTCCGACCAGCTCTTTGTGTCCTTAGGCCCTCCAATCGGGCCCTTGATGGTCGGCCCCGATGGGTCCTCCAGGCTCTCCGAGTCATCTCAAACACTGCCTGTGGCCGACTCAGGGCCCCTTGCCAACAACGTGCCGTCGTTAGGCGCTTTGGGGCCCTGATATACGCTAGGGCCCTGATCAATGTAAATCGCTGGCTCCGGCTCTGTCCCTACTTGAAAAATAGACTCTTAGGCTCATGCCGCCATGGAGCCGGCTGTGCATCACTGGTGGTGTCTGACCGTCATATAGACCCTTGCCGACATAATCGATCATCGATCAGCGTCCCTGGCTCTCTGGCTGGCATTACAGTGCCCGGCCCTGTTGGTCTGACTTCTGAATACGGCTTCCGGCGGGCCTTAAATCAGGCCGTTAACCGCAGGTCACGAGGACCCCTCAGAGCCTAAGGGTGAGGGCACATCCCTGTACCCCTTCCCCGCGCAATTGGCTGCAGGCACGTGATTAACCTTTCACCTCCTAATCAGGCTTTGAGCTCTAAGCACAGAATGCATTGAGAGTTCTCTGTCAGCGTGGGGGAAATAACGCTGATCGGCAGAGGAGTACGAGAAGCAGAGAAGTAGCTTTTAAGCAATGCAATTTTATTGATATGAGGTAGTTCAGTAAAGTCCCCTAGTGAGAATATGTGCCAATAACATATTTTCCTGCACGCAACCTGTTGGGATAAGAAACTGCCTCCCCCTTCGTATCCGTTGATAAGGGGTGCATCTGCCGTGCTCCTTTTGCGCAGCCCCTGTCTAAAACTAAAACATTTACACATGCACAGTTGCATATGGCCAGTGAGTTTCTGCTGTTATAAGAAAATTGAATGGATGATGTTTTAGCTCAAAGAGGATTGCAGGTGCCGCAGTCAAATAGTTTTCACCTTTTCACATATTTTTCGCCCCAGCTGCGCCATATTTGGCAAAACATAGCTCGTGGGAGGATTTTGCGTCGTGTTCGCGCGGCCGGGTGTACGTGTTGCGGTGAGGCCCGCACGGGTATCGTGCGTCGTTAATAGTTCTCCCAGTTGCACATTCTCCCGTCTTTAGTTGTTCGTTCACGCATTGCTGAATTTTGTTAGGGTGGTTGAGTATTGTTTAACTTATTAGTTCCCACATTTTAACATGATGTGGCGTAGGACAAGTAACCTTGTGCATGGTCATCCCAAAACGTTTTCGTGGAGTCTCCATTTAGGGGCCCATGGGTCATAAAATAACCACATGTTTGTTTGCTCTGTTGTATTTTCAGTGTCCTAATAAGCTTCTGAAGGAGGCAAATTATTCAGATTTTAAGTCCTCCCACCATTACCCATACATGTGATTGGAGGAACTATTTGGGAAGGCAAACTGGGAAGATAGTGCTAGTGCAATTTTGGGGAGGCAAAAACTTGAAAGATAATGTGTCATGAAGTTTTCATGAGTTGAAACTTAACTCTGATGGGCAATGGTCACCATTACGAATAGTATGGCTACCACATCATTGAATGGTGTGGAAAGAGAAGCTAAATTTTGGCAAAATTTGCATATTGTATGGATGCTGGCATGCACACTTAGCCACATTTTCCAGCCATACATATAGTTACCAATTTTACTTGGTCATTAGTATTGTTTGATTATTGCTGCTGCACCCTATAGCTTTAATTACTATCATATTTTATTGTTAATGGCATTAGCATAGCAAACTTTGCTAGAGGGCTTAGATGCTGCAAGTCAGAAAAATAAGAAGTTGTGATGAACACAATTAGGAGGAAAGCCTAAGTTGATAGTTATGTGGAGATAGAGGTTGCTGGAAGGAAAGCACACCTTGGATGCTTTTTAGCTGTGCTAATTTTGGGTGGATTATTCAATGTTGTTGCAGTTGATTATGCTGCATATTTGCTGATATTGATGTCATCAGCCAAACTCAAAGCAGACTATCAACAATGGACAGTGAAGCTTTTTAGTCATAGCGATGATCAGAAAAAGATAGGGTATTTTGGGTGAAGTAATTCCTTTGTCAAGTGAGATAAGGAAAAGTATTATGGATGAGCTATCCATTGAAGGGTGTTATCCATCTGCTCTTTTAAGGATGATGTGGAGCTGCAAACTTTGGTAATTCTGTGGCTCTGATCTCAATTTGTTTTATATGTGCATAGCCAAGCTCTAGCAGCTAATCAAACATTGTGCTTTTTGTGTGTTTGTCCCATTCAGTAGATTAGATCTTTTTCAGTAAGGCATGCATTATATCTTCCAACCAGCTGTTACACCTGGTATGTGTGACCTGTTTCAGAGAGCCAGTGAGCAGAGCGTTCCACCAATCCTGTCAGCAAGCACCACAATGTCCTTCACCTTGTCACATGCGTGCCGGCTGGGCGCCTCTCGGCTGGGCCTGGTGCGCCCGCTGGGCGCGGCTGCGCTCCGCCCGGCCAGCACTGCCGCCTACGAGCACATCCTGGTGGAGCGACGCGGCGAGGGCGAGCGCGTCACCCTCATCCAGCTGAACCGGCCCAAGTCGCTGAACGCGCTCTGCAGCCCACTGATGTCGGAGCTGCTGGAGGTGGTGCACCAGGCCGAGCAGGACCCGGCCGTGGGCGCCATCGTCCTCACGGGCAACGAGAAGGCGTTCGCCGCCGGCGCCGACATCAAGGAGATGCAGGACAAGCGCTTCGCCGACGTGTACCGCGGCTCGTTCCTCGCCTTCTGGGGTGGCGTGGCGCAGTGCACCAAGCCGGTGGTGGCGGCCGTGAACGGCTACGCGCTCGGCGGCGGCTGCGAGCTCGCCATGATGTGCGACGTCATCTACGCCGGCGAGAAGGCGCGCTTTCGGCCAGCCGGAGATCGCGCTGGGCACCATCCCGGGCGCTGGCGGCACGCAGCGGCTCACGCGCGCCGTTGGCAAGTCCAAGGCCATGGAGATGTGCCTGACAGGCGACATGATTGATGCGCAGACGGCCGAGCGCGCCGGCCTGGTCAGCAAGGTGCTGCCACCTGGCGAACTGGTGGACGCGGCCGTCAAGACCGCCGACAAAATGGCGTCGCACTCGAAGCTGGTCGTGCAGATGTGCAAGGAGGCAGTGAACGCCGCGTACGAGATGACGCTGCAGGAGGGCCTGCACTTCGAGAAGCGGCTCTTCCACACCACCTTCGCCACCGACGACCGCAAGGAGGGCATGACGGCCTTCGTCGAGAAGAGGAAGGCCAACTTCACGGATAGCTAGACGAGGCGGCTTGGCCCGGTGGTTCGGCAGGTGACAGAGCTTCGAGTCGAGGGTTGCAGATGGTATGGTGCTGCAGGAATGGGAATATGACATTGGAACGTGTCACACTCGGGGGGAATGTCCATGATTGTTTGCGCGTGTGTTGTGGGAACGGCAGGTCGTGGCAGCCTGGGACAATAAGTGCTTAGAACGGGTAAAATCAGTATGTCAGTAGGTGTGCCACTGTCGCGCAGCTATTACACTGCTACTTACTACATGGCTTAGTGATTATCCGTAGTGTCGCACTGCCCACTGCAACTGCCAGTGAAGCAAGCCGAGAATGTTGATCACGTGATAAGCGTTCTCCCTGTCTAACCAGTTCACTAGTTACACGTACAACCACTAACTAGCGACTGGACCGTTGTTGTTTTGTTGATGTTTGTTTGCCTCCCTTTTCAGTAGTATTGTGCATGGCAGAAGCGGCACGTCGCTTAGGTGAAGCAGTGATTTACTAACCATGTGTTGCCTGCTGCACTCCCGTGTGCTCGGGCGGAAGTGGATGCTATTTTTACATATCTGTAGGAAGGTGAGCGGGGAAAAGGTTCAGACAAATATATGGAGGAAAAGAACGAACTCTACGTGGTGTTCCCGTCCCCCCATTTCCAAGTGGTCCTGGCAGCCGGTAACGCGTTAATCCCCAGTCATCATCTACTTGGTGTTGGAAGAAAATGCCTACCTTTTTCTCCCATGGCCAACGAAGGAAGGGGTTCGAGTGACAGCCGGCCACGCGACCGGAGTTGAGCTTAGGAGATACAGAGTGGACCAGGTCGCCTTGGAAACCGCTGATAGTTAAATGAAGCTGCCAAATGGGATATTTCCATGTATTTTCAGCTTACTTCTTGCACAGAGTCCGGTTGTGCAGGGTAGTCTAGGATACGGATTACGGAATCCCGGGAACTGTTAAGCTAGGTAAGGCAGGCTAGAGGCGGTAACGCCTATTGAGATGTCTGGTCATTAGGTTACAGGTTGGGGAAGGAGGCAAATGTCATCCAGGCTCAAGGCTTTAAACCAACTGGTGACTTGGGTGACGGAATCAACCCGCATTTTGGGGACTTTTGTAAGCTTTACATTCGAACAGCCACGGAACGAAAACTCGAAATGATGGAGGACTCAAGATCATAACTGGAGAAGTTTCATAAGAGATGTCAGTGGCCTGGATCGAAATCGCGGGACTTAGGAGTTGCATTGCGACGATCAAAACTGTTTTAACCATAAAAATGAAAACGAATTTTCACTTTTGGTCTGCATTGTTGAGCTACCAGCAGGTGGCAACCTCAGCGCCAGTGCCAGTTTCATCTCCCTCGCAGTGTGCAAAATAGCATGCATCAGTGCGATTTATGTCCGCTTTAGGCAAATGGAAACGAAAATTGCTGACCAAGATCATCGCAGTTGTGGTTACCGGGTGGTGATATTTGAACTTGGTGTTCGCCATACGCTCTTGCTCAGCATGCCGACAGGTGTATTTGTAAAATAGCGTAAAAACAATTTTGGACTTAGCCAGGAAGCTTTTTGAAAATCTACTGAGCTCGTGACTCTTGTACTGAGATCAACAGAGCTCGGACCAACAGTCAGTTTGTCTTCATGGAACAGTATGACTGCCTTTGGGCTCTGCTGGCGAAGGGCGCCAGATGTACTCTGATCACGTGACACCAGTGATCGTAGAGCTGAAGAGGCCAACCACTGACCACCTCAGTGTTAAAAACGTGGTGTTTTACATGCCACTAATGGCTGAATAATAATACCCAGGCACCGAGTAGCGCCGGCCCGTACATCTCCCCCGGATGCACAGTGAACCATGCGCACAGTGCACAGCTACCCCAGGTGAACCGTGAGCACAGTTGCACTTAGATTGCACAGTGAGCATGCTTCGCAATCCTTCATACTCCGCGCTACTGCAATGACGCGAAGCTCGTGCGAAAAAGATAAACAATTGAGCAGTGCACTGCGGAATGACGCTTGGCATGAGATTAGCTTGGCTATGTTCTCCAACGCTTTCGCGGGTGAGCGAGCCGTGCTAAAACCCCCCCCCCCCCCTCCTACCCTTAATGGCGCGGCCCGGCGAGCCCCAGCGCTGGAGCAGTGCTGTCGCGAGCGGCACTCGGCGGCACCTGTCCGCCGCGGAGGCCAAGCCAGGCGTCGCGCTGCTCCGTGACCAGACGAAATCTTGTCTTATCGCAGCGCGGCACGATTTCCTGCGCGGCCGCACGGTGTCCAGCGATAGTCGTCGTTTCTGACCTTCAGAAGGCCGACCTTCGAGGGGTTCGCCAAGGTGACCCGACGCCGGGCAGGAGCCCGTCTGCTGCGAGCCCGAAGCAGCCTAGGAGCTTGTCTGTTGTGAAGCCGATGCCGACCGCCAGCACATCTGTTGCGAACTCGAAGCGGGCCGAAGCAGCAGCGGATGAGCTAAACTGCCACTTCGCCGCTGTGGGACCTCGTATCGCCACCGCTGTGGGACCTCGTATCGCCACCGCTGTGGGACCTCGCATCGTTGCCGCTGTGGGACCTCGCATCGTTGCCGCTGTGGGACCTCGTATCGTTGCCGCTGTGAGACTTCGTATCGCCGCTGCTGTGCGGCCTCTTATCGCCACCGCTGTGGGACCTTGCATCGTAGCCGCTGTGGGACCTTGCATCGTAGCCGCTGTGAGACCTCGTATCATCGCCACTGGAGGACCTCGTATAGCTGCCTCTTTTTGACCTCACATCGCCACTGTTGTGAGATCGCGAATCAGCACCGGTGTGGGACCTCATATTGCCGTCGGTGTACGCGGTGCGGTTATCCCCGGCACAAGGACCTTACACCACCCTCGGCTGACGTCGCCGATTTTCAGCTCAAGCCGACAACAGTGTCCAAGCTGTCTTGCATTGTGTGCATTGAGAGTCACGCGGGCAGTGGGCCTGACCGAGTTCGTTTTAACAAAAATTAGCTAGAAAAAAATATGTATGCGAAGAGTAAGTCACCAATTGTTCGTAAGCAACTGCACGTGGAGTATGAAGTTCCCAACGCAGAAGCACGCAAGCAAAAGTTCGTAAGCCAAATGTTCGTAGGGCATGACCATACAAGTACGCATGTAGAATGTTCTTATATGGAAAGGTTGGTTTGGAAAAGTTCGAATGTATGAAGCACGTGTACAAAATTTGTACACTATTGTTCACAGCAAATGTGCTTTCGCCAATTATCGTAACGGACAGTTCGTTTCACAAAAATTAGCGCGTATATCTAGGACAGGTCGACCCCCTGGAAACCACGGCTGCAGGCATCAGATTTCGTTGAGATTTGGTCGTCGCGAGATATTTTAAGGCCTTGCAATTTGATCGTGCATTTTTAGCGCTAGGTGGATAGTTTGCATGTTACGAGAGCCTTGGAGAACGTTCGGCCGTGTGCAAACAGGGTTCTAGTTATTATCAAGGTCCTAAAGGTCCAAAAGGACAACCAAATTACTTTGTATACGCGGATCGTATACCGGACGCCATTCGCTGGTCTGCCCACCACATTGCACAAGCCAGCTGACTTTTGTCCAGTTGCCACCAGGCGTCACTGGCGTGCCCAGGGAGGGTCGACAGGGGCGTCGTCAGGATGGTTATGGGGTAAAGGAGGAATACGGCACACACGTTGGATGATCTGCGGTGGACACAGTTTCGTTGATTTTTGAACCACCTGCCCCTCCTATCTCACTGTCACTTTGTGCTAACATTGATTTCATTCATTTGCTGGCAGCGGAGTGACATTTAATTTCATGTCATGAAGAGACGGGACAGTCATAATATTTGAATCAATATTTACAGCTCTTTTCTGACCGATGAAGGACAGCATATGTCGCACCGATCCCCACAGCTGGAAGGGATCGGTGGGAACGGCTGGTATCCCTGCCTGGTCGTTTAACACAGCCTACATTACAACAAATCAGCATGCTATTTAAGATCCTGCAAAAAGTAGTTGGTAGCCAAGTGATAACCTACCTGCATTCGATCAGCTTACTGAGCCCGTCCCCGCATACGCGCTGGCCATGCCTTCCAATCGAGGATGTCTGGCTCGACAGCATAACATCGATATTGGATTGATATCGTTGGTGACGATGATCAGTTCCTCGAAGGCTCTCAACGTCGTCCACCATGACGTCCTCCTCACCAAGCTGCTCTGTGATGATGTAACAGGAAATTGATTGGCTTAAGAGTTACCTAGACGGTCGTGAGGAAATGTTGCGGGTCGGACGGCTCACATTTCCGACGTCATGCAGTGCGCCTCAGACAGGGCATCACTTTGTATACTTCCGTGGGGGGAGGGGATGCCTGAGCCTCCTCTTCCCATTTGACTATCCTGCGTGACTGACAACTTAGGCGATTACGTCGCTTACTTTTCAGTGTGAAACAGGAAAGCCCACTTCGTTCATCGTTTCGAATCAATGAACCAAACTGATATCTGGCTACGCACATTTTGCGTGCGCTTGGTGGCATTCTGAGCAGCGATACCATCTCTGCGTTGGCGCAAGTACTGAAAAGCCGCCGGAGGAAAGCACACAAAATGGATGATGCTGATACTGCTCTGCAAAATAGACTGAGCCTCTGCAACCCGAACCGCATAGCTAAGACTGCTCGTTGTGCTGTGTACTGGTAATGGTGATAAATGGTAATGGATGTTCGAACACATAAGTCACCTACCAGATTTTCAACGTAAAACATGTTCTCCAAAAATCACCGAATATGCTGTTATTACAATATGAACAGCATTTATGAAACGCACAGTACGTCACTCACCTGGCCAGCGGCCGTGCCGGCGCAGTCCCGCGCAGTGAGGCCGCCGGCTTGTACCGCGTTGCCGGGTGACCGGGCCGGGCCCGTCGTAGTGGCTCGGTCCCGCTGGCGGCAGTACAACCGGGTCCGCCGAGAGGTCAACATGTGGCTGACCTCGGTGTTGGCCGCCTTGACCTCTGTTGGTCTCCCGACCGGGGCTACCCTCTTGACCCTGCCTTCCGATGCGTTCGTGGTCCACAACGCCGGCTGGCAGTTTATGCCCGGACCCGCGCCCGACGCAGAAGTGCTCTCCGAAACAGCCCACCTGTCGGAGTGTGGGTATGACGCACGAGCACGGCTGCCGTGCCACGCCCTCTTGAGGGACATGTGCTACTGCAACGTTTCTCAACTTTGATGTAGAAACTTTAAGCGTTTTGGCGGAACAGTTAACCTAAACTAATGTGTTAAGCCGTCTTGCAGTGACGCCAGCTTTGGGACATTCCAGTTTCTTTCGAACAGATCTCCTCTGTGCACCGCTGGGAAGTTCTAATCTGTTCTCGAACAGATCTCTGTACATTGCTAGGAAGTTCTGACTTGTGTTCGCGCAGATCCCCTCTGTGCATTCCTCCCTCCCATGCACGCTGTGCGTGAGCCGTCTGCACACTACGATGAGCGTTAGAATGTAACGTTACAAGTGCCGGCGCGGTGGTGCGGAGGTCTTCTGGAGATAAGTAGAGTGACGACATTGCCCCGCGGACAGACCAAACGTTTGAATTTAATCGCGCTCATGACACCATACATGCATCTTTGTAAGCATAATTCAGACCATGAGGACAAGTCATTGT